GCCCTCTCTGAGGGGGCCAAAATTTCGCCCCCTATAGACAGCGATGGGGTCAGCTGACTATGCCGAGGCGCCGGCAACCACAGCCACTCGGTCTTGGAAGGGTTGAGTCTGAGTCTATTCCTCCCCATCCAGACCCGTACGGCCTCCAGGATGTACTGAAGGAGGGAATGTACTGAAGGAGGGAATAAGGGAGTGTACATGAATGATTGATGTCTTCCTTATGATGTAATGGCTCTGTTGACTGATTTTCATTGGCTAACAAAGGTTTATAAAGCAATGCTACTAGCTTTCTAAGGTGTGGCACTTCTGGACATAACTCTGCCAGCGTTCCAGATTGTTGGCCACCCAGCAGCTTGATTTGATCAGATAAAGTGCTGCTTGACCAAGAAGTTTCCACTTGGGTTATCTGATTAGATTATGATATCTCAAGTTCAAGTAAGGGATTGGGACCTTACAAAGGAAGGAAGGAAGGAAGGAAGGAAGGAAGAAAGAAAGAAAGAAAGAAAAAGAAAGGAAGGAAGGAAGGAAGGAAGAGAGAGAGAGAAAGAAAGAAAGAAAGAAAGAAGGAAAGAAAGAAAGAAAGAAAGAAAGAAAGAAAAAGAAAAAACCCCAGCTTTCCTAACTCCAAGGGTGACGGATGTGGCTTGCTGGCTGCAGAGCAGGAAGTTATACTATACTTCTGTGTCAGAAGCAGCGAGGCGCTTCTGTAATGAAAGGATCTGCCAGTGACATCACTGTTGCCTGTGGGACACCCAATTGGGGGCTCCTTTCATGTCTCCATTAACGAGCTCACCATAGTGGTACCTATTTATCTACTCGCATTTGCACGCTTTCGAACGGCTCGGTTGGCAGGAGCTGGAGCGAATGACGGGAACTCACCCTGTCGCACAGCAGCATTCGGGTCTCAAACACGAGCCTGCAAACTGTCAGTCCAGCATCCTAACCATGTGAGCCACCATGTTCCAGAACAGGAAGTTTAAAAACACTGTGATGATTTTTTGGGGGGGGGGGGAAGAAAGTCCTTTAGGTGGCAGTTGTGGCTTGGAGAGCCTTTCCACAACTTCTTGTTGTGCACCTGTTGAACCCTTTCTTGCTTCAGGAGTTCCTGCACTCAGTCACTCAAGCCCTGGTCATCTCCTGTTTGGACTATTGCAATGTACTCTACATGGGGCTACCCTTGAGGAGTATTTGGAAGGTAGAGCTGGCCTAGAATGTGGCTGCATGGACAGTTCTAAGAGTCTCAGAGTGGCCTGTGTAACACCTCTTCCATGAGCTTTCAGTTTGCTTCCTGGTATAATTCAAGGTATTGGTTGTTACCTATAAAGCTCTTTATGGCATGGATCTAGGTTATCTGAGGAACCGTCTCAACCTGATAGTATCGGCCCACCCCACTCATGCTATTCTGGAATTGATTACTGGATTAACTATAAGATCTCACCTCCACCATATTATATATTCCCCAGCTATCTTGGCTGTTGTGTTTTCGGTTCATTGGCAATTGACGAAGACACATGGTGGAAATAACAAGCTCTTTATTTCTCTCTCCTACAACCAAGCAAGCAGTAAAAGGCACGCAGGCCTTTTATAGTGCCTGAATCCCGGACAGTGTGAACCAATAGGAATTGCCCATTTTCGCGCCTTGCGCATGCGCACAAGGCTGGCGCCACCCTGTCTGGTCCCAGGCAGCTTTTGGATTGCCCGGGACCATTTGCAACAATTCTGAGCCTGCTTTCAGCTCTTGCAGGCTCAGGACACATCATTGGCTATTTCTTGTTAATTTTAAAGTATTTATTGTTTTATTGTTTTACTGTTTTAATTTTCATACTATGTAATTTAAGTTTTATACTATAGCTTACTACAGCTTTATAGTTTGTAAGTCGCCCAGAGTCATGTGACAGCGAGATGGGAGGCAAATGAATTTAATAAACAGATTTTTAAAAAAATCTTGATCAGCTTGAACATTGGGGCCCATCCAACAAAATGTTGTTCAATGGTTTTCCTGCACATAGGCAGGAAAAACCAGATGCCCAGGTGTGAGATAATATGGTACTTGGCTAAGTAGCAGAACCACGAGAAAAAATGGGGCGTCCTGGTAGACCAAAGCCATCAAGATGCTGCAACTGTCAAAAGAGCTAATGCCATTTTAGGCTGCATCAATAGAAACAACAACAACAACAACAACAA